AGGCTTCACCACCCATTTATCCCTCCGCCTTTCAACCAGCACCACATGTGATTATCGGCCAGGCTGGCACAATTAACTAACTCAATACAGGAAGGTGAAGCAGGGAGAGGTGTGGCAGGGCGGGGTTCCCAGGACCCTCCTTATGAGGAGGTCATGTGCATAAGGAGGCACCATCAGGCTGTGACCTGATTGACAGAGTAGACTCCACCCCTACAGTTCAAGTTGACATGAAATTATGTAACTACCACAGAGATGGATTGCCACAGGGCACTGATGGGCTTAAACATAAGAACAACTGTAAGGACGACACGGGCTCATGCGATATTTCCTTCTATTGTGCATTGGGTTGCTATGAGTCAGAACCATCCCAAAGGCACCGACAAGAACAATTGCCTGGCCACTGAGAATCCTGCCTGCCCCCCAAGTTGGCAGAAAACCTAACTATCACGAAGATCCCAGAATTCTTCAGGGAAAGGAAAGTTCCACTGCACTGCCATTGAATCAATTCTGACTCGTAGTGACTCCCGAAGACAGATGGGAATTGCTCCGTAGGGTATTCAAGAGCATAAACCTTCATGGGAGAAGTCTCCTCTTTTTTCTGTTGATCTGCTGGTGGGTTTGAGCATTAGATCTTCCAGTGAACAGTCCAATGCTCAACCCACTCACTGTTCCACTAGATGGAAGTAGGTAGATCTAGCTGGAGGATATGTAAAACAGATTTGAATGTTTTGTTTGGTAAAGATTTCTATAGGTTTATAACGTTGTTTTTTTAACTTACCCTTAGATCTGTAAAGAATGCAGCACAGCCGTTGGAACAAGATTAGGAGGTTTGTTGCTGGTATGGTTGGGTGCTATCAAAGTGGTACAGGCTAATAGCAACCTATTGACAACAGAACAAAACACTTCTTGTGCCAGCCTCACAATTGTTCGTATGTTTGAGCCTATTTTTGCAGCCAAGGCATCAATCCACTATATCTTTAAACGTTTTTCTCTTTTGTTGATGATCTTCTTCTTTACCAAGTGTGATTAAACGCATCGTATGATTCCTTGATTGCTGCTTCCATGGGCATTGATGGTGGGTCCAAGCAACATGAAATCCTTGACAACTTCAATTTTTTTCTCTATTTATCATGATGCACTCCATTTGGTCCAGTTGTGAGGATTTTTTGTTTCTGTTACACCAAGTTGTAATCCATATTGAAGACCATAATCTTTTATCTTCATCTCTGAATGCTTCAAGTCCTCTTCACTTTCAGCAAGTAAGGGCATGTCAACTGCATGTCGGAAACGGTTAGTAAGCCTTTCTCGAACCCTGATGCCAGACTCTTTTTTAGGTTATTGAGCTATTCGGATTATTTGCTCAGCGCACATATTGAATGCGTATGGTGAAAGGCTACAGCCCTGAGTCACACCCTCCCTCGTTTTAAAGTACACTCCCTGGCCTTGTTCTGTTCCAAATATCACTGCCTTTTGGTCCATGTATAGGTTCTGCATGAGCACAATAAGTGTTCCAGAATTCCCATTCTTTGCCACGTCATCCATAATTTGTTATGATCCACACAGTGGTATGCTTTTACATAGTCAATGAAACACAGAGAAGCATCTTCCTGGCATCCTCTGCTTTCAGCCACTGTCTAGCTTGTGGCGGCAATGCCCTCCCTTGTGACACGTCTTCATCTGCATCTGTCTGGAGTTTCTAGCAGCTCTCTGTCATCCGTTGCTGAATGGTCTTCAGAAAAAGTTTACTTGATTGTGATATTAGTGATCCTATTCCATGATATCTACATTCTCTCTGGGTCACCTTTCTTTGGAATGATGACCTTTCACAGGGGTCGCCTGATTCATAACAGTGGCAAAACGACAGTTATGAAGTAGCAACGAAAATAATTTTATGGTTGGGGGGGTCACCACATGAGGACCTGTATGAAAGGGTCGTGGCATTGGGAAGGTTGAGAGCCACTGGACAAAAATAAGGAGCTCTTTCAGTTATTTGGTCAGGTTACTGTCTTCCAAATTTTTTGGCATAGACAATCGAGTGCTCCTAGTGCTTCATCAGCTTGGCAGAACACTGCAACTAGTATTCTGTCAATTCCTAGAGGCTTGTTTTCCAGTAAGGTCTGCATTTGACCTTGAACATCTTGAACTTCTCCCTTCAATATGAATCGGTCTTCATTATATGCTACTTCTTGAAATGGTTGAATGTCCACTATGTCTTATTAGTACAATGACTCTGTGTGCTCTTCCTACTTTCTTTTGATGCTTCCTGCATCTTTCAACATTTTGCTCATGGAATTCTTCAGTCTTGCAGTCTGAGGCTTGATGCTTTCCTTCAGTTCTTGCAGCTTGAGAAATACACAGTGTGTACTTCCTTTCTGACTTTCTAACTCTTTGCACATCTCATTATAATAGTTTGCTTTGTCCTTCTGGACTGCCTTTTCAAGTCTCTGTTCAACTCTTTTTCATTCCTCCCACTTATTTTAGCGACCCTACGTCCAACAGCAGGTTTCAGAGTCTCTGGAGTCTCAGAGTCACCTTGGTCTTTTCCTGCTTTCTTGTCTTCTTAATGGCCTTTTGCTTCTTCATCTACAATGTTCTCTGTATCATTCTTCAGCTCATCTTGTCTTCGATGATTAGTGTTCAATGTGTAAAATCTTGTGATGGTCTCTAGATCCAGGTGGGGTATACTCAAGGTCATGTTTTTCTTCAGCTTCTAATGTATGTCTGAACATTAGGTCCATAGTTGCCCTCTGGCCTTGTTCTGCCTGATGATATTTGAACTTCTTTTTCTATTCCCACTTACATAGTCAATTTGATTCATGTATTTTATCTAGTGAGTTCCACTTGTATTGTTGCTGTTTATGTTGTTGAAAAGGGGTATTTTCAATGAAGAAATCATTAGTTACGCAAAATTATATCATGAAATCTTTGGCTTTATTTATATCACCCAAACCATATTTTCCAACTTCTAATCTTTGTTTCCACCATTTACATTGTAATTATCAACGTACCTTGACTACATGTTTGATCAATTTCAGACTGAAGCAGTTAGTAGAACTCTTCACTTTCTACACCATTCACATTAGTGGATGGTGCATACGTTTAAATAATAGTTGTATTAATCATTTTTGTAGGTGTATGGATAGTATCTTCTCATAGACTGGATTTACATGAAGATTTATCTTGAAATGTTCTCTTTGATGATGAATGTGACATCATTCTTCTTGAAATTTTCATTCCTTGTACAGTAAACCATATGATTATCTGATGAAATATGGCTAATACCAGTCCACCAAGTTCATTAATGCCTTAGAGATTGATCTTTTTGGTTCCTTTTCATTGTAGACAACTTTCAATTTACAATTCAACTTTCAATTTCATAGAACTATACTCCATACATTCCACATTCTAATCATCAATAGTGTTTTGAGGCTACTTCTTCTCATTTTGATTTGTACCCATATGCAAATGAAGGTCGCAACTCTTTGCTCCATCCACATCATTAAAGTTGGTTCTACTTTAAGGGAGCAGCTCTTATTCAGTTGTATTGCCAAGGGCCTTCCATGGCTTACCATCCATCGCTCTATCAGATGAGGGGCTTACCATCCATCGCTCTATCAGATGAGGGGCTTACCATCCATCGCTCTATCAGATGATGTCACACTGGTAGCCAAAGGGTTTTCAAGAGCTAATCCCTGAGAAGTACACAGCCTATTCCTTCCTCCTAATCTAGTCTTAGTCTAACTTGTGTTGTACACAAACTCATTGCCATTGAGTCAATGCTGACTCCTAATGACCCTGTAGAACAGGGTAGAACTGCCCTTGTGAGTTTCCAAGACTGTAAATGTTAACAAGAGTAGAAAGCCCTGTCATTCTCCCAAGGAAGAACTGGTAGTTTCAAACTGCTGACATTGCAGATCGCAGCCCAACAAGGAACAACTAGGCCACCAAGGCTCCTTTGTATCCTATATTCACACATCCATCCATCCATCCATCCATCCATCCATTCTTAGTCATCGTTGTTATCATGGAAGAACCTTTAAAACCTGTTCAGCATGGTTGACTGTAGTGAATAGAAAGTAACTGGTATGGCTCTTCTGTCCATAGTCTTTATAACTCCTACCAAATGACTGGTTGGGCCATGCAAATAAGGTGTAAAGGATTCTACCTTGGGATTGATCAGTTTTGCCATTCCACTGGGTATAAAAGTTAGCCAGCTCAGAAGTAGGAGCAGAGGAAGCTTATGACAACGAAAAAGAAACGTCAGGAAGGAGTATGTGCAAGATCCCTGCCTGAAGTGACAAAGGCTAAAAAGGCACCAGAGGCCAGAGCACCAAGACCATGAGACAGAGCAGAGGAGACGTGCCAAGACTTTGAGACATGGTGTTGGGCTTCCCAGCCCAGAGAAAGAGTAAAATGGAGTGCCTTTTGGCAGGAGACTGGCTTGCAAAGTGGAGTGCCCTTGAACATTTACCATCACTAAGGAAGCTTCCTAATGTTTTCCTGAGAAGGGCAGTGGCCAAGGATCAGAGAATGATGTGTGTGCCAGCATGAGTCCTTACCACTTTGTAACCCGTTAGCTTCCCTAAGAAAGCCTCATAATCATGGGTAACACCTGTGAGTTCCACGTGGCTCTGGTGATGAAATACTGAACCCAACTAAGAAGTAGAGAGTGCCATGGGAGGGATGGCTGGTGTCAGAGTTGGTAAGTAGGTTGCAGGAGAGAGGTATGTTGACCCCTGCCTCATAGGGATTATCCTTGAGCAGATATAGAGTTGAATTCTCCTTCCCACCTGCTAAGTAGAGGAGATTGACTTTGACCTCCAGGTCATTTCCTCAGTGATCTTGCTGGTTTTTCAAAATACCAGTGGTCTACCCCCAGTATAACAGCAACGTAAGCCACCACCATATAACAAACTAGCCGGTGAGGGGGACAATGAAAACTGGTTCGTTGTATACTCAATTAATCTAGGCAATCTAAAGTAGGCTTTGTGGGATTCATGGGGTTCAATGAGGCAGGAAGGACAAGTTTTTACAATGCCCATTTTGTTAGTCTAGGTAGACTAGAGAAACAAATTCATACACACTTATATATGTATAAGAGAGTTTTATATAAAGGGTAATTAAGAAAGCATCCAAACCCAGTCCAGTCCAAGTCCATAAGTCTTATATTAGCCCATATGTCCAATACTAATCTAAAAAATCCTCTTTAGACTCATGAAACACACATGCAGTGACGTTGAATGCAGGATGATCACAAGCCAGTGGGTAGAATGTGTTTGGATCCAGTGTTGTAAGCATCTCAGCTCTGGCAGGGGTCTCTACGTGGCTTCTCTGGCTTCAGAGGTCTGATTGCATCAGAGAAGGTCCATGTGGCTTCTCCAGCTCAGGGCACTAGCATAGTTCCATGTGTCTTGTCAGCTGCAATGTCTTCCAGAGAGTGAAGTAGTGAGAGAGATAAATGTCTCCCACCTCCAAGGAGGAAAATACAGGAGTTCCCAGAATTCTCAAGAGAAGGCCATGCCCACAGAGGCCTCATTGGCTATATCTTGATTGACAGGACAGACTCCACCCCTTTGCTTGTAATCCTCTCAAATGGACACCAGATTATGTAACTACTACACCCATGAACCATGTTATCAGTTCCTCACCACCGAATCATATCATTCTATCAGTAACTCCCCTCCCCTTCTCTTACCCAGACCATCAGGAAACGAGGAAATCCACCTGGTCTGCGATATCTTCCCCCACCTCCCCAGTTGTTGGGTGTGAATTACAATGCTATGGCAAGAAGATCCATATTAAATACATCCACATACCACAGCTGCTATACAGCTCTCCTTTCCAGTGAGAGTGGACAGGACAAGGTCTCCCGTGGCATTTTCTACTGTCGGTTGATGATGGAACCAAACAGACTCAGCCTGGATTCAGAAGGAGGCACAAAACTGGAGGCCCTGGCCTATGAGTGAGAAAGGGTTCATTTTTACGCATTCATTTACTCCCCTCCTGCATTGTAGCTTACAGGAAATGAGCAGGCATGAACAGGAGCAAGCCATGGCCAAGACATTAGCTGGCATCCTTTGGGCTGCAGGCGCCGCTCAGAAGGCCACCATCTGTCTTGTGACTGAGGATACTTATGTTGCCTCCACTCCTGACTATGCCAGGGATGATTTCACAGAGCGGGTGAGTGCCCAACCGGGTGTGCAACTACACTGGCCCCAGAAAGGGAGTTTGAGCCCCTCTCATGCGCCCATACGTGCCTGGCTAGGGCCCAGGCACCTTTCAAAGAGCAAATGCCATGGTCTTGGGAGTGACACACAACCCAAACAAACTCACAACCATCCTGTTGATTTCCGTCCACAGTAACCCGACAGCACCGAGCAGAGGTGTCCTTATGCTTTCTGAGGCTACAAATCTTTAGGGAAGCAGACGTCTTCATCTTTCTTATATGGAGCAGCTGATGGGGTTGAACTGGCAACCTTTCAGTTAGTTGTCTAATGCTTAACCCACTGGGCCACCAAAGGCAGAACCTGACTATGAATTTCTCCTCTCCAACTGACCGTGTTCAAGAGTTCTCCCTGCCTGAAAATCATCATAAACGACATTCCCATAACTGCTATCTTAAGGATAATTAAATTCTATTAGGAAAAAAAGAAATTAGTGGTTGTAATGCTCACTGATTTAAAACTGAGGACTGTACATCTTGATGATACAAGTAATCACCTATTTCACCAGGTGTGCTTGACATGGCCAAGGTGATGGTGCAATAAAAATTTTTTTTTTAAAACTCCTTTGAGGGAATAACAGTGCGTTGACATCTCTCAGGTGTGACTTTCATCTTCCTTTTCGTTTTATCTTATATTCCTGATTTCTAGCTCCAGCTGTTTGAATTTACAGAGAAAGAAGTCACGGAGAAATTCATCTATGATCATTTACAATGTGTAAGTGTTTAAGTGCGGAGATAATTCCTTTATGTTCAACTGGTCTTACAGGAAACTTCTCTCTTTTGTAAAGTATATTCCTAATGATGCTTGTTAAGAAAGCAGGTCATTTTCAGGGCTAAGAAAGGCGTAACCAGAGAGAGAGAGAAGCCTGCTTCCCCCTCCCTACAATCTAGAAAAAAATCACAGGTCATAAAGGCCCCTCACAGATGCCTCTTTTTCCTCCTCTGATCAAACTTAGAGAACAAGTTATCAGAGGGCCTGTGCCAGGCTCCCCTGAAGGGCTTATAAAGTTGCCCTGCCTCCTCAAATGAACAAGAAGCCAAAATTAAAACAAAAGAAATAAAATGAGAAAAATTGACCCCTCATCTCAGTTGCCACAATCACCATCTACACTGATCCCAAGTAAATGCCTTTGGGTCTCATTTTATGTCTTCTATCAGTACCTGCCATATCCTGGCCTCTCCTGCAGTGAGTAGGGACAACATGGAGCACCGTCGTGGCGGGAAGTGGAATATGCATCTTTGGGATTGCTCTGGAAGGAAAACATTTGACAGGATGGGGTAATGGCTTCCTAAAGGTGACCAAGTCGCTACCCCCTGCAGCCCATGTGTGTGTCACCTGTTGTGGTAAAGAAGAAGTTTGATTGATGTAGTAAAGGTTTTGCACCGGCAAAGGCTTTTTGTCTCAGTTGAGCGGGTCAAGCGTAGTCATCAAAAACAGAGCAAAACAAAAAGACACAGCTGTTGAGTCAATCCCAACTCCATCGACCAGACAGAACAGAGTAACACTGAGTAACAGAGTAACACTGAGTAACAAAGTAACACTGCCCCACAGGGCTTCCGAGAGGACTTTTACTAGAAGCAGACTGCTGGAGCTGTCTCTCAGGGAGCGGCTCATGGGTTTGAACCACTCATCTTTTGGATGGAAGCTGAGCTCTATACCCACTGTGCCATGAGGGCCCCCAAAGGCCATCACAGGAATCCTTACAGGAAAGAGGCCAAGAGTCAGAGTCAGAGGAAGAGGATGACATGACGTAGGGGCATCAGCTGAGGAATAAGGATGGCTTTTAGAAACTGAAAAAATGCTCGCTCTCTCTTTCTCTCTCTCTCTCACACACACACACACACACACACACACACACACACACACAGACTAAAGAACAAAGTTGTGGAGTCAATTCACTTCCACCCCATTAGGTACGTCAGACAACAGCCGCCCTTTGCGGGATTTTCAAAGGCTCATAGTTTGGAAGCAGAGGATCAGGTCTCTTCTGAGCCACTGCCAATCTCAGCCGTACGGTGAACGACAGTAACGGATGCTACTTTGAGGACTGAGATGCACCTGGCCCAGTCTCCTCGCGCGCACATAGAAGTTGGCCTCTGAATAAGGAAGCCCAAAGAGGAATCAATGCATTGGAATTATAGCATCAAAAGAACAAATAAATTTGTCTTGGGAAAAAGTACAGCCAGAGAGAAGCTTAAAATCCAAGATGGCAAGACTTCTCCCATGGACTTTGTGTGTGTGTGTGTTGTAAGCAGAGACCAGTCCCTGGCAAAGGACATCGAGCTTGGTAAAAGTGGCAGGGCATCGACAAAGAGGAAGAGCCTCAAGGAAATGGGTCGACACAATGGCCGGGTTGACCTGGTGGCTGCAGCCATGGGCTCAGGCCCAGGAACCGTGGGGAAGATGGTGCAGGACCGGGCGGGCCGTGTTTTGTTCTGTTGAGCGCAGGGCCGCTGTGGGTTGGAACCGACTCGATGGCACCTGGCAACAACAGCAACATGAAAGAAAGACGGGCAGCACCCGGCCAGGCTTCCTTCTGTTGTAACAGGGTCCTTATAAGTCAGGATCGAAGGCCCCAACACCTCCAACACCCAAGGACTCTGAAAAAGGTAAGGAGAGCAGTTTTCACCCAGAGCCTCCAGAAAACAACAGAGGTCTGGCAGTGCCCGCCATCTAACCTCCGTAACGAGAACATCCTCCATTCCTGGTGTTTTAAGCCACCGAGGGCATGATAATTGGTTGCAGCGACCACAGGAAACAGACAGGTGCCCCCTGGTTTGCCGCAAGCCCTGCCGCCTCTCCCCATCTCTCTCTCCTCTCTCTTCTCGCTCTCTCTCTCGCTCTCCTCTCTCTCTCTCTCTCTCTCTCTCTCACTCACTCACATCCTGCAGTGCACTCTTTCGTGTTCCTGCCTGGCCCCTGCAGCTCCAGAATTTGGTCTCTTGCCTAGGGAGAACCCTGTTCCCTGCTAGGTCACAGGTAGTGAAGTGGACAAGCCAGGCCATATAAAGATTTATCCCTCTTGGGAAAAACACATGAATTTTAGCAGAAGCCTTCCTGCACCAAAGCCTCTAAAGAAAGGCCTTTGAAATCTGGAGACCATGAAAGGCGGCGAAGAATTGCTTTTCAGCAGCTGTTGGCGTAAAGCTCAGGGGAAGCCTATTGAAATGAGGTCCTGGAAGCTGGCTGGGCAGGTTAACTTTGGTCTGAGAGATCACAGGGTGCCTTCACAAAGTCCTGAGCAGAAAGAAAGGAAAGGGAAAGGAAAAAATGATGACTTAAAAGAATGGAATAAAACATTTCAGAGGGCAGCTCAAGAAGACAGAGAAAAAAGTCACCTGCCCCCAAAATGAGGAGACAAGCCTCAAAGAGGGACTGACACTCACTTTGTTATGGGCCTGCTGTGGACCGGGCCCCAAAGTAGGGAGCACGCATGAGTTATTTTATGTAACTTTTCCAACAAACCTGGGAAGAGGATATTGCTACCTGGAATTGCAGATGAGGAGAGTGAAGCCCAAACTGATTAGCAAGGTATTAGTAAGCAGTGGACTGACACTGAACTCTGAAGGCTATTTCAGGAAAGCCCCTCTGACCCGCCTGAATCTGAGAGGGCAACAGTAGGGTTAGACTGAGCTGGGAGAAGCTAGACAAGGGGAGGCCAGCTTCGAGCAATACTCGTGGCCTGAGCTAGAGGGATGCTAGACACAGAGAGAAGTGATGGTGCCACTGGAGGTGGAAGGGAGGCAGGAGAATGAATTTGTAGCTAAAGATGATGTAGGGGGAGCAGAATACCCTAAGTCTTCTTGTAGCAGCAAGAGGAT